GGGCCTGACGAAGGCTGGGCCCTGGGGCCTGAGCCCTGGACAAGCCATGGAACACTGTGAGGATGAGTAGAAGGACAATTCACAACAGATGACTTCCTTGTTAGCGTTCATGTTTCAAAACCAGAGACAGGACGTATTGGAGGAAATACAGTGAGACACATTAATGTGTTAGACATAAGTTTTTAACAGAGGGAGAATAAAATCCATGCAAATAATAGAGCCTTGGGAACTTCACATTATTTATATACTATTCTTTAATACTTGGCTGAATACATATTTCATTTATCCAGCAAGCCATACTAAATATTATGCCAAAAGAAATCTGATTTAAAATATAGACTTATAGAGTTCCACATATATATTCATAAAACATTCCTTCTCCATCCCCATCCCTCCAAAAAAACATGAATTTGCTGTATATTTGCTATGCTAAACTGATTGCCAAAAGACTTCCATCATAAATAATGAGATAAGTGCATATTTACCCATTTACATCAAGAAATTCTCTTCCTTTCCTCTCTTTTAAAAGAGACTGCTGCCTAAGATGCCCAGATATTTGAAGCAAGTCTTAATCTTTTATATTCTGGAAAACATCTCATTTGATCTCCTTTAGATGCTTAACTCATTGATGAACATGTAAGAGGTTTGCAGAAATGATTGACTGATTGCTTTCTCGATGACTGGTTATTGCTGGGCTGATTTTTAGAAAGGAAAATAAGACTCAAGTGCCCATAGCCAGCAAGCACCCATGGCCCTCCACACTCCGCACTCTGGGCTGTTTTCCTAGGAGTGGGGAGGAAGCTGGTCTGATTGCCTAGCTCTCCAGCTAGCCCTTCTGGTGACCAGGATTACTCACTGCCCCTGAAGGTGGGGATTGCTGAGGACTGTGTCAGAATTTTTCCACTCTTACCTCCTCCTGGAATTCTTCCTCCAGCCAACTGGCTCATCTCAGCATTGAATTCAAATGCAAGAAAGTTAAGAAAGCTTGTGGAAAACAAGCAAATTAAATGCGGTGACTTCTAGCTTGTCCATAAAAAGAGAGGTATAGTAGAAAGGGCACTTGAGAGAGTGGGTTCAAATCCTGTCACTGCTCTTTACTAGCTGTGCAACACTAGACAAGTTAAACTTAACTTCTCTGGCCTCTTGTCTCTTCATCTTTAAATTGATATTGCCAATACACATCATCCAGATGTCATGAAATTAAATGAGCATGTGCCATTGATTGGAGGTAGAATTTGGTGAATGAGTTAGTGAACCAGATCAAAATTCAACTCGAGATATGCAAAACATATGAACATATAACATGTCACTGTAACTGAAAGACCAATCACAGTACTTGTAGCAATTGTACAAGATAGCATTTCTTTGGGTTTCAAGCTAACAGGTTGTTTTCATGAAAAAGATGTTAGAATGTCTTGAATGGGGCTGGTTTAGCTAAGTCCAGATCAAAAGAAGAAAAAGAGACTCAGGAAGATCATTATCTTCACGACTTGCTCTGGAATGCGTTTCTCTGGTATCTATGTAGATGAACACATAGTTGTTGTGATGCCTCAGGTAAACACCTACCCCCCACCCCCACCAAGTCTCCCATCTCCCCCTTGCCCAGTGCCCTTTTCTTCCATATATTTTCAAATGACAAGGCTGAATGCAAACCTTCCCCTTTCCAAGCATTTAGGACACTTCCGTCAGCAGTTCCCTTTTCTACCAAGCCACTTAGCACTTCTCCCTTGTCCCCTGACACTCTTCTGACATTTGTGTGTAGTCCCTGGTGTGGAGCTTTGTCTTCAGTCTCACAGGGCTGGGGGAAGAAGCTGGTCCATTTATGGAATTGAGAAGGATAATGACACCCTGGCTCATTTTGGGTTTTGTCTTCTAGAGCTCTGTCTCCGTTTTCTGCCAACATCATCACCTTCAGGCCTGGTGTGCGGACAGATTAGCCATATCTGTCCTGCTGTTGCCCCGATGACATTGTGTGGCCTTGTTTCTGGTGGTCCCTTAGGTTTTACAAGCCCGTCTCAGAGAAAAGGGGAGTGGTTAGGGTTGGAAGGAGGGAAGAGGAAGGTGCTGGGGTACCCGGAACACAGGTAGACTAGCAGCCTCTTTCAGGGGAAGGACCTACAGAGAGAATTGGTAAATGAATATATCCCCCACCCACCCACACACACTCCTTTCTTCAAACAATAGCAGCTGCTGCTTTATTGTCTTTCAAAGGAAAAAAGCCAATATGAAGAGGTGGATGAGGCCTCTCATTTGACTACTGAGTCTCCTTCTGGGGTCCTTGCTAAAAAAAAAAAAAAAAAAAAAAAAAAGCCTCGATAGCTGTCTTCAGCTTTGTCGGAATTAGAAAGTATGGAGAAAATACTTTCATGTTGGTGTTCATTTAAAAAATTAAACTAAACCCCTGTGGACATGGTTTCCTAGAGTGGATGCCCTTTACCTGTGGATTCTGGAATAACTTCCCCCACCTTCCACCCTTGGTGGGAGGGTGGGAGGGTGGGAGGGAGGGAGATCGGAGCCACCTCCTCTCTCTACCGCATTGGACCCAGGGCTCTGCGTTGACCACTTAGTGCTCTTTCTGACTAGCTGTAGGTAGAAGCAGTGGGCAGGAGCAGCAGAGAAGAGCTAGAGTGAGGATGGAGCAGTGCCACAGAACAGAAGGCAAGAAGGAAGGAAAGCAACTCAGAGGAAGAAAATGCTGCAGCCTGTGCCCCTGAGCAGAGAGAGTTCCCAGACCACTGTGCCCACACCCTCACTGGCCGAACAGGGCAGGCGTCAGTGGTAACGAACTCAGGCAATGATGAGAAAGAGAGTGGGCCCCTACTGAAAGAAATCAGTGCAAGCACAGGAAAGCCAAGGTATTTTTGAGATGGGATGCAGGCCTGAGAATGAAAATGGGGATGGGACACTCTAGAAACGGATTAGCTCATTTGTGATGTGTTGAAGTGGCTCCATCCCAACAAATGGATACTTATCCCTGGGTTTCAAGAAACCCAAGGCAAGGCTAAAAGAAGCTAAGTTCATACATGAAAGCCAGAGTTGGCCTCCTGGATTGTGGGAGCTGCAGTCGTTTTTGTTTTTGTTTTTGTTTCGATGGGGGGCAGAAAGTACACTAAACTTAGTCACCTAAGATCTGGATCCAAGTTTCCACTTCTTTTCATTTAGTGTTAACTAAGGCCTTACACAGGAGTGTCCAACCCACAGCCCACGGGCCACGTGCGGCCCAGGATGGCTATGAGTGCAGCCCAACCCAAAATCATAAATTTACTTAAAACATTATGAGATTTCTTTTTTGTGATTATGTGTTGTAATATATTTAACGTGTGGCCCAAGACAACTCTTCTTCCAGTGTGGCCCAGAGATGCCAAAAATTTGGACACCCTTGCCTTAGAGAGTTACTTAGTTGTTTTTTAATCTGCCTTTTAGGAGGTTGTGGTTAAAAATAAGATCATATCAGGTACTAAGCAAGTGCTAATTATGAAAATTAAAATGATATGACTCAAATACAAGTGAAATTATAAATTGAGGATCATGGCTTCAATTTCTGAATAAGCTCATTACCATTGTTTTAAGATTTTGGGGCAAACCCAGCCAGTTATCTGGCAAGCATAGACACTATTTTTTCAATACTTTACCTTACTCTAAATATTTTGGTATGAACAAGGTCACTACCTGAATATTAAACCACTATTAGAATCTAATACTGATCATTGAAATAAAATATAAATTTTAATACATTTCTAGAAATACAATTTTAAAGAAATGCCAAAAGACTTCCATCATAAATAATGAAATAAGTGCATATTTACCCATTTACATCAAGAAATTCTCTTCCTTTCCTCTCTTTTTAAAGTGACTGCTGCCTAAGATGCCCAGATATTTGAAGCAAGTCTTAATCTTTTATATTCTGGAAAACATCTCATTTGATCTCCTTTAGATGTTTAACTCATTGATGAACGTGTAAGAGGTTTGCAGAAATGATTGACTGAGTAAAGAAAATAGTATAATTAACTATAATTAGATAATCCTATAATTGGATTTTACTGTTTTAGTGGGAGGAGAAAGAAGGAAGTAAGAAAAAGCTAATGAAACAGAAGAACCCATAATCTTATCTTTTGAGATTTTTGTGCCCTTTACATTTTTTTTCCATACCAGAGGCACTGCCCTAAGTTCTGTTTGCTAGAACAACTGGGAAAATCTTAAACGTCACGCCTCCTAAGATAACACCTTGCCTGAGGTAAACTTCGAAAATGAGGAGGAGAAGAATGTACTCCAGGCCTATGGAACAAGGTGGTGGAAGGCAGGTACAAAGAGGAGAAGAACGCCATCCAAATAATTCTTTATAAAAAGTTTTGATTAGATGAGATTAAATGAAACAGCAGAGGAACTATTTGACAACTTCGGCCTTATAATCCAATGTCCACTTGAAATTCAAAGTGAAGATAATCCGTAGGTGATGGGGATAATCACTTAAATTATACAAAATCAGAAAAGGACTCTTTGGGACATTTATAAAATCATAGTTCTTTTACAAGAATTTAATGGCAGTTCATCTGTGCTGAGTCGCCACAGTGCTTGGATTTGAGCTATGCTTAGATTACCCTGTCAGACATTTCAGTGTCTCTCTATCCACAGACACACACCACACGCACAACATACTACTATTCACACTCATAGCTTCCCCAACTAGTAGAAATCTGGGAGAGAACCTGAGTCCCTTTCAAATCATTAGGGAGACACATGAAGTCGATTCTTGAGACAGAACACAGGTGCTGTGTGTCTTCGGACACCATTGATGCAGAGCCATTCTGTGGCTTTTCCCTTTTACCTTGTGTGATGCCCTGACTATATTTGGTGCCCCCTTCTCATAACGTGTGTAAAATCCTGTGGCTGGGTGGGCTGCGGGTAGGGAAGTATAGAAGGAAATACAATTCCCATCACTTTCCACTGGCAAATTCCCTGGATTGACTTCATGAAAATATCCTTCTGTTTGCCTTCCCCAGGAATGGCGGCCCTAGATAGTAAGGCATCAGGGAAGATGGGAATGCGAGCTGTAGTCTATTACATGACTACGACCATCATTGCCGTGGTGATCGGCATAATCATTGTCATCATCATCCATCCTGGGAAGGGCACAAAGGAAAACATGCACAGAGAAGGCAAAATTGTACAAGTGACAGCTGCAGATGCCTTCCTGGACTTGATCAGGTATGTCCTTGAAAGCCCATCCCTTTGGGTATATTTGGACCACTCAACCCCTCTTATTTGGGGGAGCTGATCAAACCCTGAAAATGGTGCCCAATCTGAACCAGCTTTGCTGGGCTTGAAATGAGAGTCACATCTTTACTTCATTCTAACAGAAATTAAAGTAAGGATCCATTATTTGCTTTTATGCGAAAGAGGTAAGAAGATCAAGGAGTGGACATGGATGAGCTTCGAGAGCCCGGCTTTTAGGGCTCAGCATCTGTTCACTCAGTTCTCCTCTCAACGGTACAGCTCCCCTTGGAATAGTAAAAATTCTTAACTTTTCTTAAGTCTTGCTCTTTAACACTAGTTTTTATTCAAGTGCAACCTGTTTATTGGACTCTTCTAATTTAGAACTTGTGATCTGTATTATCATCCATTATGAACAACAATTTCTTTCCAAAATGGACTTTACAATCACCTGGTCACACCTGTTTCAAGGTCTTTTTTTTTTTTTTTTTTTTTTTGTAGTACTTATGAATAGAAGTTGGCAGGTCAGTAATAAAAGATTAAAGGATGGCTTCTTTAGCATTGTTTTATGTACAAACCATATGCTGATTACAACTGAGTCTTATCTAATCTGAAGCAGACTTTATGAGAGAGTTACTCTCACATGGAGCTATGGCGTAAGCCAAAGTCTGATGTGGAACCTTTCTGCTTGCCCTCTCCCCGCCTGCATCAGTCAGGTCCTGGCAGGAAGCATATTGCGTTTTTGAAAAGATCGTTGAAAAGGGCTTGCAATGGTGCCAGCAGGGTTAAGGGAACCTACAAGGGCAAGGGAGGCACCAGAGGACCAGCAGCAAAAGGAAGCTGTTTTATCACCGCCCCGAGCTCTGAGGGGTAAAAGCATGAGCTGTTACTGGACCTCAGGAAGAGTTGTGGCCTTGGGAAAAGGCCCTGAGGAGAGAGGCTATAGCTCTAGATCGGAGGAAGGGAGCTGCTGCTCAGCCCGTCGAAGAGAGAGCCGGGAGGGTATGAACATCACTTCTCTCTTTCCTACCTTGTGATCATTCAGAGCATCCCACTGGCAGACCCAGCAGGAAGCCATAAGGCAGGAGAACCCACGTGCTATAGTCCAAGGGGTCAGCCCCCAGGGCACAAAGAGCGTGGAGAGTGGATCTAGAAGGACGAATGGAAGATGACCCAGCACAGGCTCTAGATTCCCCTGCTGCTAAGCACCCACCACCTACCACGTAACCCCACCCAGCCTGTCGTCCCTAAACCTCACCCTTTCCTCCCATGCTAACAACCTGCTTGCAAAGTGACTGGTTTGCCGATCCTAGACACCAGCCCTAAAGGGATCCCCACTGCTCATCTGCAAGAAACTCCTCCTAGGGACTGGATTTCAAATAGATTCAAGATAGGTTTGAGGAACAAAGAGTCCTTTTGACCGCACCTCGCCGTTCCTCCCAGGGGCGACTTAGTACCATCTGTAAGTCAGCCCGGCCCAGCCCCACTGAGCCTTCTCTTGACAGCCTTGCTCAGGGAGTCAATCCCAATGATCTGAAAGTAACAAGCTACCCTATAAAATTTCATATCAAGTTCTCACCCAATAACTATGTTTTTACTTAGTTCATACAGTTCATTAAGGCTTTTCACCATTTTTTTCAATAACTTTATTTATTCTCAGGTAGTTTGAATTAGAAGTATTTTTTTTCCTTTGTATTGAATTTATTGGGGGTTGACACTGGTTTACAAAAGTATTCAGGTTTCAGGTGCACAATTCCCCAACACATCGTCTGTACACTGTATTGTATGTTCGCCAAACGAAGTCAGGTCTCCTTCTAGAAGAATTTTATTATATTCTCTTTCTGTATCATTGCTATTCCTTGTTGGAAGAATTGGGATCTTGTCATTACCATCTAGATGATGTTTCTGCCCTTCCTTGTCCCAGTGGACTAACCTGGCCCCACCCAATCATGTGCCTTAAGCATCTATCCTGGAATCTCCTGAACTCACATTTCTATGGAGGTTTATAGGAAGAGATCCATAGAGCATAGGCGGGAAGGAAAAGGAAACAGGATGATCTAGGCAGTAGGAAGAAAGGGACAAGAATTTACCACCTTGAAATGTGACTTTGACAGCATGCAGCTGCTACAATTTCGGGCTCTACAGCTGCCCAGGTCACGGCTCCTTCTCCACAGTCTTCAATCTTGGAGTGTTTATGCAAGTTTAATCCAAGTTCCTCTTTAACAGATGATTCAACTGAGACCTAATGGGTGCCACGACTTGGCCAAGGTCACACATCTGGTGAGAGACTCCCCAGCTAGAGTGCTGCTCCTTATCCTCTCCCCACCATAAACTTAAACACTGCTCTGAGGAAGTCACAGATCTTGCCACATAGGCCTCAAGGTCAAATTTTGTGGTCCTTCTTCCCAGTAGTCAACAGAAGAGCCTCAGAAGCTCCAACAATATAATATCAATGCCCCACCCCCCCAGGGGACCTTTTGAAGGACTTTTCAGGGAACAAAATTCTGTAGTGTGACCATGACTTTTAATTCAGAATACCATATTTGGTCCCTAGACACATGGCACAATACCAAAATGACCATTATGGAATAATACTTCAATTAACCAGAATGCTCTTGGCAAAAGGCATTTCCATCCCTGTTTTGATTCTTCTGAGGAGCAAGGTTTTAATGACAATGTCTGAACAAAGAATCCCATTGTCTGACAAGAAAACAGATGAGTTGAATTTGGGATTTCCCTGAAAAATATTAATTACATGGGCCACACTTAGGAATGACCATATGTCCCATTTTAAGTCATAAAATCCACCAAAATCTTTCTTTTTTTCCATTTGCTGCTTAGTTCAATGCAGTCTTTACCATAGGCACAATGAAAAATTATTTAAGGAGATAACTTATTATTTGGGAAATTTTCAAGTAACTATTATTTTCTTTGCAGGAATATGTTCCCTCCAAATCTGGTGGAAGCCTGCTTTAAACAGGTAAACACTCTACAGCTACTAATTTACCTTAGTTATTCCTCTTTGGTGTGCCAACATAGTGGGACCCTCTTTAGTATTTTTTTTTTCCATTTATCTATAATAAACACTTCTGAGCCAGATGGGTAAGTACTAGGGTTTTCTAATGTATTTAGAAGGCAGGGGTGGGTCTTACCTTATACTGAAGGGTTATTAGTTGCCAAATACTGCATGTCTTACATACAAATAGCTTCTTGAATCTTTGTTGATTTATAAGGCCAATCAGGAGACTTCTCTCTCGCTGCCCCCACACCAACCACACAAAACCCCAACAAGCAGGCAAACTCTAGCATTACATTTAACAAGCTATTTTAAAGATTAGGGAGATTATTCACATTTCTGGGTTCGATTTTTTTTTTTTTAAATCAATGGGTCATTTTTTTTAAGTGCGTTCTCAAGGGGTAACTATATCAAGAAGCAATGGCATCTTCATATTTCGAATGTCAGCTGTGTGTCAAGCATTAATGTTATAGTCAGTCCTCACATGAATATGATGGGTACCACTGTCTTGACTTCGTTGATGAGGCAACTCATCCATGATACCTCAGAGGGATTGTATGTATAACAGGCACAAGATCTCACAAGGAGTAAATGGCAGATCCAGATTCAAATCCATTACTGATTCTAAATTCTATCATCTGCCTGCTCCAACAGTCTGCCCCTAGAAAGGGGTGTCCATGGCGATGAGACCCCTGCCGGAGGCTATCGTGAGATCCGGGTCCTTTTAGCCCCTGATATCCAAACAACTCATGGCTCTCTGTGTTTGGGATAAAAATATATTTTACTATTAGAGGATCAAATTAGTAAAGTGCATTCTAACCTGACTTGAATAAAAGAAAGCTTTGTTGCCCAGGTATTACAATGAAATAATTAGACTTTCTGGGTTCAATAATGGTTCCCAAACATTTTTCCAGATGGTGTCATTTCACCCTCATTGTAATTCCCTAACCTTTCTGCGTAGGATCTGAGAAGCGAACAAAACAACCCCTCGACCTTGTGGAGGACCAAGTTTTACACACATAAGCCACTCTTTGTTTACTCCCACTTTTTACACATTTTATTGACCATGTTTAACAGGTAATGCATGCATGCACACACTGAAAAATTCTAACACAGCAGTCCCCAACAATTTTGGCACCAGGGACCGGTTTCATGGAGGACAATTTTTCCACAGATGGAGGGGAGAAGAGGAGGATGGTTTCGGGATGATTCAAGTGCATTACATTCAAGCTCACCTCCTGCTGTGCGGCCCGGTTCCTAACAGGCCCAGACCGGTACAGATCCGAGGCCGGAGTTTGGAGACTCCTGTTCTAACAGGATCCTTTCATTATTTAAAAAAAAGAAAAAGAAAAGAAAAGAGAAAAAGAAAAGCCTAAGAGGCCAAAATCTAACTTTTTATTCAAAAACAACCGTAACCACAAATAATAAACCCTTTTCAGTCTGACCAGCCCACGCCAGCACCATGGGGCTTACTATTCCAGTTAGCCAGCTGGCTCTGGGTGACATTAAAATGCTGATTCCTGGCAGCACTGGGGAAGTACAGACTCGTGCAGATTTCTCGTGTTTGGTTTTGGATGGCATTTACAGGATTTTGAAGAGGAAGCAAATGTATCTTCTCAGATCTGTTTGTCTTAGGCTAGAAATCACTTGCAGCTGCAATTTCTGTGTAGGCTACAAACTGTGTCTAAGGAGAAAGAGTTGGAGGCACAGGAAAAGCTAATCGGGATTGAAAATCAACACTAGAGAATCCATAAAATGCATAAACACCTTAATGGAATAGAGATTTGAGAGTCGACCAGAATAGGAAACAACAAGAGGCCAGTTTCTTTGTTACTTGAAGTTACCAGCAGTACCACTGATTATTCAGGACTATGTCCCTGGTATTGATAGCTGGCCATGTCCTTGTTTGGGAATAATCTGTTTCCTGTTGGACAAGAGAGCCTCCCATTTATTCTTGGTAAAGAAATGGCCCAGCACTTCTGTGCAGCTGTGCTTTCATCCCGTGCGCTTGAGATCCAGCCAGTATCTACATATGACTCTCTGATGCTTCTCTGCAATCAACATGAAGGCCAAGAGTTCTGCTCACATTAAAATCATAGAGGGATGGGTTTCGTTGTTTTATTTGGCCTCAGTAACATATTTGGCATCTCTTGTCTGGGACATCTAAGTAGAATCTACGGGGAAAAGACCATTTCCTGAATAAGAAGAACAGGAATGCCACTATGGACTTGAGAAGTGGGTTGTCATCTATTGATCAACTATTAATCAAGCACCTATTCTTAATAACTTATACTATCAGATACTTAAAGACTGTTGTTTGGAGGTTTAACATTTTTAATATCCATGAAAATTTCCAGCTAAGTCTAGTCTGTGAAGGGCTTTGTTACTGAACACCACTAGCCAACATTAGTACAGTACTTTACCATTTACAAGATGTTCTTACCTATTCTGTTTAATATGATCACCATAACAACCCTGTGAGGCAGAATCAGCACAGTTATCCCTATTTCACAGCTGTGGAAGGTGAGCAGAAAATGTTAGGTGATTTGTCCATAATCCCATAGCATGATCCCACTGAGAATCAAGGGACTACTGAGAATATTTGGATTGATAGCTCTTTAAAAACCCATTATACTAATTTTATTAGGGTTTCAGAGCAAAGCAAAAGTACATGTGTACATGTAGTCAAACATCTTCAACCAGATATGGCTTTCCTATTATGATTTGTTCTATATATGGGTGTGTATAAGCACACTGAGGAAGCAGTAGGGGTTTGTCACAAATTAAATGACAGATAAGAGATGGATGATACTTTCTATAATACTGTTATTTGAATGCAAAGTAAAGTATATCATAGAAAATTTGGACAACGAAAAAGTACAAAGAAGGAAAAAATATCACTTGTAATCCATGTTGTGCCTTTTCTTTTCAAGTTTAAAACCAACTACGAGAAAAGAAGCATTAAGGTGCCAGTCCAATCCAATGAGACACTCGGCGCTGTGATCAACAACGTGTCAGAGGCCATGCAGACTCTTTCAAGGATCACAGAGGAGATAGTCCCAGTTCCAGGGTCTGTGAACGGGGTCAACGCCCTGGGACTAGTCGTCTTCTCTATGTGCTTTGGTTTGGTGATCGGGAACATGAAGGAGCAGGGACAAGCCCTGAAAGACTTCTTTGACTCTCTCAATGAAGCCATCATGAGATTGGTAGCAGTGATAATGTGGTATGTATTTCCCTTTGCTACGTATGCTATATACCAGATGCTTGTTCCCATCAGCATGTGTTCTGCTCTGAGGAAGATGTCACCAGGCAGCATGGCCTATTGCAATGATTTCATCCTGGTAAGCACAAGAAAATCAATGGCTTTTTGCGCTGACTGCTGCCTTGAACCTATCTGCAAGCCTCTCTTAATGCATCTGCTTCCTTGTTTTTGAAAGGTGTCAACTCTTTTACCTCTGTGCTGATGGGATCCCATTCCTCATTCTTCCATTTTATATTTACTTAGTTATTCATTTAAGGCATATTCACTGAGTGTCTACTCTATACCCAGCATATAATGCCAGGCACTATGGATATAACAAGGAAGACAACATACAGGAATGTCCTGGATCTTACATTCTTTGAAGGGAGACAGAAGATAAACAAATAAGTCAACTGTATGCTTTAGTCACAGGTGCTGTGAAAAAAAAAAGTAAAACAGCAGGTTTCCTTTGATGTGATGTGATGTGATGTGATGTGATGTGATGTGATGTGATGTGATAAAAAGTGACTGGGGAGAAGGTGTAAAAATTGCCTTGAAAAAGCCCCTGTGAGGAGGTGACCTTCTTTGCTAAGACCTGAAAGACCAGGAGCAGCCAGCCATACGATGCACCCGGAGAAGAGCATTCCCAGTAGCAGGAGAAGCCCATGCAGAGGCCTCTAGCCCACAAGAAAAACTGAGATCCCCCTCCTATATTTGAGCCCGAAGGGAGAAATCAAATGTGGTCCTGCCCCAGGCCTGAGACCCTCACGGGAAGCAGTAGAGAATGCCAGGCCACAGTTTATAACAAACTTCCTTCAAATAAAGTCAAGAGCAAGAGACAAAGGGAAGACTAAATCCAAAGGGGGACACTGACCTTGGAAAGTAAATTTTCTCCTGCAGGGAAAGAACCCTTTCTTTGGGTTAGCCTTCATTTTTAATCCAGACCCCTTCCGGGCACCTGAGGCAGGAAGCCATCCATTTCTTAAAAAAAAAAAAAATACTCACCAACATGATTAAAAATATTCTTTGTCTTTATTGCCACCAAAGCCCAGAGAAATTCATTTTTCAGAAGTTTGTACAAGATGGATATGAAAACTTGGACACAAAGACAGATCAGAATATAATCTCCACAGGAGCCCCCAGACGAAGTCCTTGGGGCCTCCTTTGAATTCTTGGCAGGGCTGAAAGTGGACATTTATCTTCATAGTATTGAAATGCCTGCACCTTTCACCTCTCTTATGAAAGAAGTCCATTCAAGGCCGCTGAATGAACCTCACATGTAGCATTTCTAGCTGTGCTTTTTGCCTGCACATTCAACATTGAATTATTACATTTCTGCAAACAGGTATTCTTCTAATTTCCTGGCCTGTGTTTTTAAAGGACTTTTTAAAAGGAACATTGTATTTCTCTATTTGAAGTAACAGTTTCCACAGTTTCCAGCAGACCATTCTCCTTAAGGGTGATGGCCTCTCTCGTTTGGGGAATGCGAGTTGGGTTGTAGTTTTCTGCACACATCAGACAGAGGGAGTTGAGTGCTAGGCAACGGGGCCTTTAGGCCCGCAGATTGTCCCAACATATACAAGTCATTTTGTGTCTCAGTTGTTCATTCTTGCTGAGTCTACAGGGGAAAGATCACCCACGGCACTAGCAGCCAGTGGGTAGTTATTACTTAATTAGAACATCTATAACCTGATTGTATTAGCACATACATGCACATTATTAATTTTAATATCTCTGAATTTATTTTATGGTCGCTGCCTATTTATGGCAAGTGGCACTAGTTTTCCGTTTGCGCTGTAACAAAATGTCCTCTTAGGAGAATTTTGGTTAAATAAAAGAGTTGATTTGAAGACTGCTATTAAGTCATGTTGTAAGTCATGTGTAACATGGGAAAAAAAATAAATGCCGTCCTTGAGCAAGAAGGCTGACTGGAAATCTAAAACACTAACATCACACTACCTTGGGCATCAGGCTCAGATGTGGGAAAGGTTTCCAAATGTCTGGAGATCGTTTTAGTGGATTCTGTGTGCGGAGGCAGGGGAAGGGGTAGCATCTGAGGTCCGGAAACGGGACCCAGGTGTAGTAAGAGCTGTCTAGAAAAGAAGAGGTGAGTGACAAAACCTCTGCACCTTCTTTTCTCACAGGTTTAGGGGGAAACAAATGTGACCTAGAGGAAGAGTGAGTAAGAGGAAAGCTTAATTCTGAAATATTTATATTTAAATTTATATTTAAAAAAGAAAAGAAAGAAGTTCCCAAGTCCTAACAGGATCTTGGGCAGAAAAACTTGGAAATCGACTCTCTCACTTGCTCTTGCCAGTTGGTAACTTGGGTAGGTAGACGAGCTTGTCGACAAGCAGGCTTCCGACTGTGCCTGTGCTGCTTCCTCGTAGGTACGCCCCTCTGGGCATCCTCTTCCTGATCGCAGGGAAGATCGTGGAGATGGAAGACATGGGCGTGATTGGGGGCCAGCTGGCCATGTACACCATGACAGTCATCGTGGGCTTACTCATTCACGCGGTCATCGTCCTGCCCCTCCTGTACTTCTTTGTGACGCGGAAAAACCCTTGGGTGTTTATCGCAGGGTTGCTGCAAGCGCTGGTCACAGCTCTGGGAACCTCCTCCAGGTACGTGTATGTGTGGCTCACTCCAACCCAAAAATGTATCTGAAACGTTGCTTTGAACCAGAGCCCCCAGATTCAGAGCAGAAGGAGACATTGGTGGCGGGAAGGGAGATTTAAACTTCCTCGAGTACGGAATGTCTTTGGCACTTCTGATGCCAGTCAGGATTGTTTGGGATTCAAGGAGTGCCTGGTTATATACTCTGTAGGGGCCCAAAACGGTTATCAGGTCTCCTGTCCTGCCCACTGCCATCTCCCTCTTCCAACTGACATTTGCCTAAGAAACAGAGGGCAGTCACGTGGCACTGGCTCTTGTGATGGGCAAATAATGACATGGATGCTTCACAGAGGAACCCAGAAGCAGGAGCGTTGCCAAAAGAGCCAGTGAGGGGACCCACATGCCTTCCTACCATTAAGTGCTGACTCAGTTCCCTGGAATAGGAAGGAACTCTCCTCCCAAACCAGCAAAATGCAGGCACCGTCCACACTGTTGGGATGGTCAGCTGACATGCCCTGTGTTACTGTCCTCAGTTCCGCCACCCTGCCCATCACCTTCAAGTGCCTGGAGGAGAACAATGGCGTGGACAAACGCGTCACCCGATTTGTGCTCCCAGTAGGGGCCACCATTAACATGGATGGGACCGCCCTCTATGAGGCTTTGGCTGCCATTTTCATCGCTCAAGTTAACAACTTTGAGCTGAACTTTGGACAGATTATTACAATCAGGTACAAGGGAAGTTCTGCACAATATTTTCTTAAGAATCACTTTAAACTATGAGACAGTGATCGGGGGTTGGGGGGGAAACTGGCTGGGGAAGGGGCTCACACATAAATTGGAGGTTGGGGTTTGTGGGAATAGTTTGATTTCTTATATTTAGATATTTTATTTATTGTTTTTTAAATTACAGATGAGCACATTAATAATGAAATTCCAATAATATAGAAATGTATAAGGTAAAAAGAAAAACTTGCCTGCCACCATCTCTCTCCATCTTTCTGTAGGTGATCCCTGTTAATGTTTGGGGTATAAAGACCATGCCTCATACATAAACATACACACGCTTTTACTCCTAATTAATGGAATCACACCATCCATAGTGTTCACCACTTGACTGATTCACTAAGCAATATATCATTTATAAATATATCTAGCTCTTCCTCTTTGAAGAAAAACATAGGAATAGAAGAATACATCTTTCTGCAGAAACATAGTAGGATATTTCTCTTCTTAAAAAATGTTACATTATACTTGAATTTGAAAAGTCTTTAAAATATGTCAGCTTTTTTTTTTTGACAGTATTAGAAAATTAAAGTATACTTGAAAATTAGATTAACGCGTTCCCTAGAGTTAATTTTTAGGCAGTATGAAATGGGTGACAGACCACATACTGACAAAGAGGTTGAGAATTTTATTTCTGGGGACTATTTTTTTTTTAGCTATTATCCTGGAAGTGTCTAGTGAAAGGTAGTTTACCCCATACCTTCCCTTAATGGCTTAGTTTCCTTCAGAGGCAAGAGCGCTGCTGGCTAGTTTCTTAGGTGTTCTCCTGCAGAGAGACCGCACATGCCCACCTGCATGTGGGTGTCATCTCTCTGAGAGTCAGCCTGCGCACACGCCAATGAGTAACTATAAAGGCGAGTCTAAGCCTCATAACCCAGACCAGACCCTGTTCATCATTGTGTGTGTGTTAAGTATTGTTAGCAATTTATTTTGGAGATAAAAATAAGTCAGATTTTTCCACAACTTTTTATTATAAAAATTATTATCTCACATATAGGAAAGTTGAAAGAATATTACAATAATATCTTCTACCACCTAGATCCAACAGTTGTTAACATTTTGCCACTTTGGTGTGTCTTCTCTCTCTCCCTTCATGGCATTTCACTTATACACAGTTCAGCATGCATCTCCCTAAGAATAAGGATAGTTTTCCACATAACCACAATAGTAAGAATCTTAAAAATACTTCCAGAATATCTATCTAGTCTACGTTTGAATTTCCCCAAAATAGCTTTTATAGCTTTTTTCCCCTAGACCAAGATCAAATTCAGGTTTATGGCTTGCATTTGGTTTCTATGTCACTTTAATCTTTTACAACCTCTATCAACTCCCACACATTTGTGTGTGTGTGTGCATATGATTATTTTAAAATGTATTAAACTCTGCATATATGTTTTGCATCATTAGGAAATGATAATAGTTACAGGATGCATTAGGGTAAAAAAAAAGAAAGAAAGAAAGAAAGAAGAAAAGAAAAACAAAAGAGATGAAATTGATCCCAGCCAGCGGTGACAGGCCCGGGAGCCCCAGGCCCCGCCTGGCCGCACCGGGGCTGGGAGAGCAGTGTCTCAGCCGCCCACTGTAACCTCTCCTTGGGCCTGCCTTGGCATGCTGGTTGAAAAACCCGGAGTTACGGTCGCATGTGACAGAGTTAAAAAATAACAGCAACAGCGACTTCAGTAAGATCGAACTGTATTTCTCGCATGTGGAACAGCTCCAAGGCCTGTGGTCCCCTCATCCCTGGGGTCTCCTCACCCAGAGGATCCGGCATAGCTGGTCACCATCTCCAAATTTCAGTCATAGGGAAGAGGAGGAGTCGCACAGCCTGCAAATTGCTTGATCACTTTCATTCAAGCCTCCTTGGCCAGAACTTTGCCCAAAGGGGCTCCAAGGTAGGCAGTCTTCATTCTGGGCAGCCGTACACCAGCGACAAATGCCAATTCCGGGGAAGGGGAGCAATGTGAGGAGACCATGAACAGGCTCTCCCACAGACCTATTACTTTATGAATACTTATACCTAGGTAACACTTTACTTTCGAAACATTTTCAAAACATTCTCACATCAACCTATCAAATAGGTATTTAACAAACTGAGTCCCAGATGGGGTATGTGCCTTACAAAGCAGGCCCACGCTCTCTCCATAAAAAATATTTCTAGTGCTGCAGAACTTTGTTCATGACCATTTTGCATTTTAGTTAACAAATCTGATTTTGTTTTTCCTGAGCTCATTAACCATACAGTCCTCTCCTTGGACATAGGAGTTATGAGAAACAAATTGTTACAGTGTTTTAGACCTTACAAAAATAACAGGGTCCGGCAGAAGTAAGGCCTGCCGGAGTGTGGTTGGCTGGGTACGTGAATGTCTCGCACGAGATGGACAGCAATTTGAACATTTCACCTAAAATGTCATGTGGTGCGCTTGAGCGTGATATTGTTATGTTACAGAATCACATGCTTATGGTTTTGTAATAAAAAGGGGGCATTATTTGTGCCCGACTCTGTATTTTCAGGTATGTGAAAAGTATATAGCCACTGGTCTCTTCATTTAGAAATGGCTTTCATAATAGGACCAGCCGCCTAAGGGTTGTTGTGAGGATCAAATGAGATAAGCCGTGTTTAGCATATCAGATGGCACATAATAAGCAGTGAATCTATATTAGTTAATGTGATTATTAGTTCAATGGGGTTTCGTACAGCCTCCCTTACCCTTTTCTAAAGCACATCCTCTTCTGTTAACCTGGCGAGTCAGACCTTGCACTGTGTGTTTACAGGGTATAGTTTCTATTTGGGGAGATTTGTACAAATGTTTTCTGCTTGGGGGCTTCTTTTAACAGCATCACAGCCACGGCTGCCAGTATCGGGGCAGCTGGGATCCCTCAGGCGGGCCTGGTCACCATGGTCATCGTGCTGACGTCCGTGGGCCTGCCCACTGACGACATCACGCTCATCATCGCGGTGGACTGGTTCCTGTGAGTATATGCTTGGGCCATGTTCAGGCTGTCATGGGGCGCTCCGCTATCGTTCCAGGGTGCCACGCAGCCTGGCCTCTTGCCGGAAGGGCCCCACAGAGGGGCGGCTGGGTCAGAAACTGACTTGTCACCATTGCTTGATCCTAGCCCTGATCCAGAGACCAAGCCCCCGACGCCATGTGCGTTCACTCCCTTATCAGCCTGCGGGGCACACACATGTGGCTGCTGCACCTCTCACTCCATAAAGCCATCCAGGGATTGGGAAATCCGGCCTGCAAAGCCAACAGCAATCAGCAAGGCCTGTCTGAATTGCACAACACCCCCAGAGCGGCTGGGCCAGAACTGCAGGCCCCCCATGCTGGCTCCAGCCCTGCCTCCTTGTGCTGCCCATTCCGAAGGCCTCACGCAGCACAGATGCTCCCATCTGAGCCCGGCAGGGAGCAGGCAGCCCTGCGGATTGTGGAAGGAGAGCTAGCCTCCCGAGTGGGTTAAGTTTCAGCTCTGGGAAGATTCCAGAAAAGTGCCCTCTAGGGCCCATCCCTCTGCCCTTTTCCCGTCATCTTTCCCGCTGACAATCTCTGCCTCTTTTCTCTCGTAAGTTCCCATCCACTTGAAAGAAAAAAAAACCTCTCCCCAGGGTTTCCAAAGTGAGAGCCTAGAAAGACACAGTAGATGCTGGAGTCGACATGTGTTGACTCCACTCCATCTAATGACCACGAAGCACCGAGAGTGCGCCCAAGGCCGGAGAAGTGCTGCGGGGGGTGGGGGGGGGCGGGGGGGCAGGGGGGACATGGAGGGGGTACTAGTCGTTGAGAGCAGGGGTTCCAGAGACATGTGGGTCTGGGTTTGCATCCCAGCCCTGCGTGACATGGGCAGGTTACCCAGACACCCTACTTTTCTCCTCTGTAAACTCATCTCAGATAATGTCATCAGCCTCCCTGTGGTGCTCTGAGGATTAAGGGCGATGGTGTGTGGAAAGCATCCAGCTACTGTCTGGCCCACAATCGCACTCAGCTAACGTGAGGACTTGCATAGTAGGAAGCTGTGATTCTCGGAGTTTAGCCTCAGGGCTCCTTTGCACTTCGGAATTACTGAGGACCAAAGAAGCTTTTTATCTCTGTGCATCACACCATCGATACTTCCCATTTTAGAAAAACTTAAACATTTTTAAACACTGAATTCATTTGTAAGTTATAATAATAAATTCAATACATGTCGATGTAACATTTTTATGAAAAGATACCATTTTCCAAACCAAAAATTTAGGGGGGAGAACGATACCATTTTACATTTTTGCAAGTCACCTTAATACCTGGCCTGATACAAGCAGGTCGAGGCTCCTAACTGCTTCTGTATTCACTCAGTTGTGGTATCTTTTGTGTTGTGTTGTAGTGTTCAGAGAACTCCCCTTGACATTTGTGAGGAAATGGGAGTAAAAAGGGCAAATAACATCGTAATATTTTTATAAAAATAGTTTTGACCTCAGGGATCCCCAGTGGTCTCTGGACCACACTTTGAGAACTGCTGGTGTAAAGAAATGTGAATTGTAGGAAAGAGAATCAAAGAGAAATTTTAAATAAAGGGAGAAACAGGAGGACCATTCCCCTTACCAGTGGTATTCTAGTAATTGAAAATTAAGCATCTGTATGTCCGTACAGCTTTTAATAACTGCCATTATAAAGGTTATGTGTCTGCTATTTAATGACGCATTTGGGGGATACTCCAAGTAGAATTTTAAGAGATGCCCCCAAACACTTCCCCCGGTGGCTCAAAATATGAGCTGGCATCACAGGGTGGTGTTCAAAGGAGCCTTACTGTTCCTTCTTCCCGCCCCCCCCACCAGGGACCGCCTCCGCACCACCACCAACGTGCTGGGAGACTCCCTGGGAGCCGGCATCGTTGAGCATTTGTCTCGACATGAACTGAAGAACCAAGATGCTGAGATGGGTAACTCAGTGATCGAAGAGAATGAAATGAAGAAGCCCTATCAACTCATTGCCCAGGAAAGCGAAACCGAGAAACCCATCGACAGTGAAACCAAGATGTAGACTAACAGAAAGAAATGCTTTCTTGAGCACCAGGTGTTTGAAAACCACGACAAAATGCTTCCATCTCATTACAGCGCCTTCTCTTCAGTAAGCCCCTTACCTCCCTTCTCCTCCCAGCTGTCATAGGATTTGGAAGCCTGCATCCAAAAACAAGGGAGGATTTTGCAGTGGCCAAAATGTAAAGTATTCATCCCACATTTCAAAGTTCTGGTCATTTCGTGTTCATCTTATCTATAACAAGGTACTGAGATCAAAAGTAGCCTTGATCGGATCCTGCAAGTCCATGTGACACACAATCCTGTAAATGTGATTTTTTTTTTTTTATAACTTAACGAGCCAAACAAATAGTAGGCTAAAAACATGCTTTTAAAATCAACTTTCAAAATTTAGAAATCCTTCAGAATACACTTCAGTTTTAGTAGCAAAGCAACACACCTTGATAAACTGCCATCAGCTATCAGTTGGACAGAAGGGTGTCTTCCCCTCCTGTTCTGATTTGTTTTCTCATTTTATTAGTAGCAGGACAATATGAATACCCACCTAGAACAGCTGTGAGCAGGTGCATAAAGTGAAATTTCCATGTGGCCATGGGCAAGCTATGTCTTATCTCTGGGCCTCAGTGGCCTCATCTGTAAAATGGGTGAGCTCTCTAAATGCCTTTGTGGTCTCTTGTAGCCCAATATCCTGTGGCATCATTGCAAGAGCCTGTCCTTGATTTCTCCTGGGAACATCTTAAGCAAGTATCATCCCATGGAGCATGGGACTTTAAGAAAGGACATTTATTAGAAATGAACACTTCAAAGTAAAGGCGGTATGGTGGTGTGGTCTACTAAGTTCTGTGTCCAGAATGTCAGTTGTACAAGTCACTAGACCAGAGGCCATTCTAGGAGTGGAAAGATACATGATCTTTTCACTCACTTCTTCCCATCAGGGAAGTTTTCCCTTCTTCCTACCCTCCACTGGACTGCTCTGAGAAGGATGTCTCCCGCCTCTCCTCAACTGACAATAGACTTTTAGAAACTAAAATGTAAGACTAGCAACTAGCAAGGGTGCTTGTGGTCTTACTACGGAACACTAAAGAGCCAGCCAGGAAAGAAGGAACCACGGGTGACATGATAAAAAGAGGATTTTAAAACACCAAGGTTATATGTAGGTCACCTTTAAGGAAGAATTTTTTAATAAAAGAGTTTATTTTTTTTTAAACTGGAAACACTTTTTTCTCTTCAGTTCAAAAACATTCCCAAAGGAAGCCTGCATATCAAAACATAAGTTTATTTCTTATATATTTTAAACAAGTCAAATGAATGAGCTTTCTCTCTAAGAGAGGGCTGTGAGCTGGGTGGGTGGTCTCTTATTTGAAAAGGTTTTTGACTATAATCAAAAGTTCTTAGGATGAAGGAAACAAGATACTTCTTTGTGTTGGAATCCCACTTACCAAATCAGTCAAAATCTTCAGCTGGAGTGGGGTTTCGTGATGTTTTGTTTGAGTCCCTGAAAGAAATGGTAGAAGATGAATCAGTATGAAGACATTGTCAATGTGGTTCCAAAAACAAAAAACAAAAAACACCAGCAGGAGCACTGGGTTCAGGCGAGGCAGCTCCCAGGTTTAGAGATTAATTTTTTACCCCCCAAGGAATATCTAGTCAAAGACGTGGAGTGGGAGCTGTCAAACAATAACCATCTGTGTTTGAGTTTCTGATTGAAAATTGGTGAAGAATGGACTTAATTATCCTAACAGGCTGAAAATCTGGACACACCCCCTCTGATATACAGTTAGAGAGATTCTTATATAGATCCCGAGCATTATGTGTGTGCAAAAGTTAAGGTTAGGCTGTGGTGGAGTAACCCTGTCAAGGCTTGGTTTGGGAAATACACTACAAAAGTTACGGTACATGGATGTCATCTTATGATGCCAGTAGGGCAAAAATTAATCATGTCAAATTAATTCTGTTTCCCAGTGTGATCGTTTTTTTATACTAACCATGTCTTATGGAAAGCAAGTCCTCTAGGGTGGCCCTCCCGCCAGCCCATCACAGGCTCTGCGTGTACACGCACCCGTGTGGACTGAGACGCATTACCTTGTAGATGTATTTTCAATAAAGGAAAAAAAATAGTTTTACATTTATACCTTTGCATGTTGTTGTTATTATTCTCCCTGAAGGAAAATAAATTTCTCTTTCTGGAAAGGATTGCAATGAGCTCAGGGCAATGCCGGGGAAGGATACCATACAGATTTGTTTAGGTTTTACTAGGAAAATCTTAGAAGGACCAAACGGGGAAGCCACAAGAAAAGAAGTAAGAACACACTCTCCCTGCCCAACTCCCAGACCCGGGCTGGGAACAGGAGGGAATGAGAGAAGCCCTGGGCTGCAACAGCCTGCTCTTATCCGTCCACAGCAGATTCTCATTTCTCAGACGAACTGAACCATTCCCATGATGGCATCAAAAAACGTGAAATGCCAGCATGGGTTCTTCCAAAAAAAAAGTGATTTCCGGTCTGACCTTTAAATTAGGTAGATTTCTCTGTGGGATTATTACTGCCATTTCTGAAGAGTTGAATAAGATCTCAAGGGTGTATCAGAAACAACCATCGTGCTGGCTAAGTGCTCTGGTCGAGAAGGATGGCTTGGGGACAGCGACTCTTTTCCATCACGCTTTTTAATGAATAATTAGCAGGTAATACCATGGACTGCCCCTGCTGAGGTTGTATCTGGAGACCCTTTCATCTGACCCTCTACCGGCAGGTGGCAGCCTCCCATAGGACCCAACCATAGGACATCCCCATGAAGACGTCAATGAGTCCATACAGCCGTTGAAATTATGGGAAACTTTTGTGCCTCTGCTTTTTCCCTAGGGTAGAAATCTTCCACCTCCATCCATTTTTCTAAAGGATCTTTGGACCAAAAAATTTACAAATCACTGTTTGATCCATACATCCTAACGTTTCCCAAGGCATTTGTGATATTTGATGGGCTGATTGGGGCAATGGAAGGAAGCTGCTCACAGCCTGAGGGAAGCAAAACGGCTCAGACCGCCCTGCGGGGATCCACGCCCGCACACCTGTGCACACCTGGGACATCCTGGACACAGGCCTTCGGGGGGTGCTGAGAAAAGACGAAAGCCCTGTTCCGTGCTTCCTGCTGCGGTCACCAGGTTCCTTCCCATCCACGGAGCTCGAGAAGCCGTCACCTGCCTGTGGGAGATCTGCGGAGACGCTGCTGCCATAGAGGGACTGGGCAGCTCTGTCGCAGGAGTGTCCCTTGGATGATGCGGAGGGAAGCGAGCGTAGGTCCACACGTGGGAGTCACAGATCTGCTCACGGATGGAACCGTGGACACTTCTCAGGTTAACTAACGTTTGTTAACTGTTTCTGATAAGTAAATACGCTCCGAGCAAATGTTTTAACCCCTACACTTGGAGAAGTTGGGGGTCTACCTGCTCCCCCGCCCGTATTCACCCACGCAGCCCGCTGCTCCACCCCAAGCAGGATCCCTTCTCCCAGGCTGAAAAGTCTCACTTTCCTAGTGAAATCCTTCTCTGTAAAGTTTTCGTTCCTATGCGCCGAGTTGAAAACAGAGTTTAATGCTACGAATAGCGTGGTCCGAAGAGGCTTGGAGGAAGGGCTCGTTCCCCCAGGGCCAGGAGCGAGGGGGCCGAGCGCACGCCCCTTTCCGGGCGCCCGCTGGGCATTGGACCCGAGGCTGCTGTCAGTCATCCGGCCTCCGCCTCGGCCGCAGCGCGCGGCCCCTTCTCCACTCGGGTGGTCCCAGATCTGGGGCAACAATGATCAGCTCTGTGTGGCCTGTTCCGGGCGGGAGCCAGAGCAGTTGGGAGGCGTCGCCCCGAAGGCAGGCTCGGAATGAATAAGCCGACAGAAAGACAGCAAGGAAGGAAACGGATGGGTAGTGTCCTAAGGGGGAGAGTGGGAGAGGGGGAATCTCTGGGATAAAGGGGTCCTGCTCTAGGGGACGGGGGTGTCGATACCTACATTAGCCACCAGGGGGGGCTCGGAGCTCTTCCGGGGCAGAACCGTGTTTCCTCTTAAAAAGGACTCTCTTTAAGCGCCTATGGGATGCCAAGTCTGCAGTGCCAAGGGACAATCAATATGTGAAAGCCATCAAGAGGTTTAAAATTCTTCACTGTCTCCATTTCCCTTTTCCTTCTGGTCACCCCGCTTCTGCAGTCGTCTCTGCCAGGAGCCCCTTCCTTTCTGTTTCCCAGACACAGGCGGGTACTCAGAAAACGGCATGGTAACATTTTCAGAGGGTCTTCCTCGTCATTCCCACAAAACTGCTGTCTCAATTTGGGAAGAGTAGCATTTTACTGAATTTGCACACAAAAGTAGGGGTGTCGATAAGATACAATTTCCCCAGTTAAATTTGAATTTCAGATAAATAACAAAAAAATGTTTTAGCATGAGGATTAAATAACCATTGTTTTAGTGTATTTCACCTAACATTGCATGGGGCAACCTGTATTTTTATTTGTTAATCTGGCAATCCTTCATAAAGTGAAATGAAAAGTCAAGAAAATAGCCAGTGAAGTGGCTATTATAGGTGAAAGAGTGTGCAGCATTATTAAAAATGACTAATTTTTAATTTCCCTCTGCAGGCAAAAATACGCTTTAAAAGGCAGCCCGGACCTGGGACATTTCCTAGTATTTATTTGTTCTGAAGGCATTATCACTCATTATGTGCTTATAAATCTTGTGGCTGCACTTAAAAAGCTTGATCAATCACCTTTACGACTTCACAGAATGATCTTCAATAAACTGAACACTGTTTCAGTGATCGATGCTTGAAATACTTTAAGGCTCACATCTGTTTTCTTCTCTTTTCTCCTTCCTGCTGTCCTCCATTGCCACTTCAAACATAAACTATTTTCTGTAATCCATCCCAAGGCTGGGAAATTTGGCTTCCACATATTGTTTTCCACTGGTGAACACGCACACTTTTTTTTTCATGTGGGGCTCTCCTTTTACAAAAGCTCCCATATTTTTTTCCTACTGCACTGCTCAGAGACCATGATTTTCCAGTCGTTGTAAAGGTGGGAATGGGACATTTTTCAGAGTCTCTCTTCAGAGAGCCCCGGCATCCATCGATGGGCACCCATCCCTTAAAAGCCCCTTTTTTAAGCCCAAGCTGAAGAATATGAAAAGCAGGATCCAACTGGTACTGCGGACAGAGGACAAAATATGCCTCTGAAAACCATAAGCCTTTTTCCAAGTATTGCAGATGCACAGCCATATTAAAGAGAGTGGTGAGTCTCATAGAAGATGGTGTCAGATGACAATTGTTGAATTTCTTTTCCAACTCAGTGGACTCAGGGCATCATACAAGGTCCCGAAGGCAGCCAGCCAGGAGCTTGCAGACATGGCAGGAGAAAACAAGGGCCTTCCAGGAGTCCCCACAGCCCCAAAAGGAACGGATGGCAGGCCTGCCCTGCGGAGAAGTCAGCATGCGAAGATTCTGTCAGCGACCCAAGTCCAAAAACTGTCACCAGATTCCACTGCCTAGGCACTACAGTGTCTCTGTGAGATAGTTTCACGTAAGCTGATGACGAGCCGTGAGCCAAAGAAATGAAAAACCCGAGAAAGTCTGCATGTGTGTTAGAAAACTAACACAACTAGACTGAAAATAGCTTCCTGCTTCCTCCAGCCTGCAGGCTCCAGAGCGGAGGTGGAATCTATACCTGTGCACAGCGCTGGGCGGAATCCGCACCTGCTGCCACCCGAAACCTTGGGAAGTTTTATCAGGGTCCCTGGACCGCCTTGGCTTGGAGTAATGGTAGTTTTAGAATGGAGCTTCTTCACTGGGCAGATGAGGGGGAGCAGACCTGGATGAGGAAATGTTGGCTCTAGTCTCTGGCTTGCTTTGGTAGCCTGGCCTGATCTTTCCATTTCCTTGGACCGCAGCGCCCACCTCTGTGCCTGCGGGGTTGGGGGAAACCTGCAACCTCCCAGCCAGCCTTCACACCGGGCTCCCGCCTGTCGTTGGACATGGTGTTAAAGTGGGTTCCACGGTCAACTAAGCGAGGCAAGTGCTAGAGTAGACCAACCGCCTCATCACGAGTCAGTATAGTAATAGCTTCGCAAGAGGGTGTAATGACACTTAAATAGATGATAGCATACACCTTCTCAGCCCAGTTCCTGTCACTTGGGAAGATTCTTCAGATGTTTTGGACAAAACGGGTTCCGGGAAGGAGGAAGAGGCGCGGAGGTGACGCTGGGGCAGGAGGGTGGGCCCGTCTCCCTCCAGGTCACTGCGCGCGGGACAGAACTCCCCGAGGGGGCCGCGGACCTTCATCAGCGGAGAGGGAGGCCTTACAGAGGCCTGTCACCCCTGGAAACCGGCATCACTGGGAGCTGCCAGGCCTCTGTGCCCGGGACGCGCGGGCAGGCCCTGCCAGCCTTGTCCGCGGCCTTTGTCAGGCCAGCTCCCCCAGCAGCCCCGCGCTGCGTGGAGGTTTTGTGAAGGAGACCACCCAGTTTCCTCCAAGTGTCCCAGAGAACAAAACTGCTCCTCTCTGTGCCAGTGACCTCCCCTCGGCCAGGCCCCCGCCCCCGTCCTCCCTGCCAAGGAGAAATGGAGAGGCAGTCAGGCCCGGCTCTGTGGGAACCCAGGGCATCCTGTGCTAAAGAGCGGTCCCCAGCGTCAGGCCAGCCGCCCTATACGTGGGGCGCTGCTGCCACCGTGTGGCAAAGGCTTTCTCCAGGCCCCTGAGTGCGGGGCCAGACCAGGCTTGGGAAGCACAAAGCATTTACCAGCAGCTCAGTACTATGGACTCAAGCGAAGGCTATAGAGACAGAAAATAGTTCAGAAGTCTGAGGAAAAGAAAGGAACGTGAAGCACCCCGTGTCCACAGCAGTGATTCTCGCAGTGCGGTCCGCCTTCAACATGCAAATTCTCAGCTCCCACGCAGACCTGCCAAAAGTGGAAGTGGAAGGCAGCGCCCGGCGACCTGCCTTAACCAGGCCTCCAGGCGGTTCTGGTGCCGCTGAGGTTTGGGGACCGAGGGTCAGGAGCAGTCACAGACCAGGGTGAGGACTCCAGGTTTTACTCCAGGTGTGATGAGATGTGACCGGCACTTTGAATGGCTG